GGCTGAAAGCTGGTTTCTGGGGTTTTGTTTAGCTTCTATATTTGTTACAATGTTTCTTAGAGTTGCAGCTCAGAGGCCGGCAAGTCAGGTGGGGAACGTTGGAGTCTGCAGTCACTGGAACAAGCGAGCCTCCCTGCTTGCTTCCAGCTGCCTGGCTGCCGGCCGCCATCTTGGCTGACAGTTAATTTGCATAAGGATATGCTGATTAGCCAATGGGAAGGGTAGCGGTCGTACGCCAATTACCATGTTTCTCTTTTATTAGTGTAGATTATAGATTATATATATAGATGACTTCCGTTTACGGAAATCACGTTCTTTCAAAACAGAGCTCCACCTGCAGCTGTGGACCCTCCACGGGTCACGGAGGCCCTTCATGAACTAACCTCAGGAAGGATAGTGACGGGCTGGTCTGCCCGCCTCTGTCCAAGCCACACCCGTGTGACGGGCACAGTCAACAGGGCAATCCAGAGGACAGGCAAAGGCAGCGGCTCTCTCCCTGCCCTCCCCAGCCACCCTGAGATCACAGCTGGGCGGGAAGAAGCTTCTGGAAGAATGTTAGAACAGCAGCCTCTGTAGACCGCCTGTAGGGGGTGGGGAGGGAGGAGATAAACATGACACGCCCATGTTTCCTCAGCTGTGAGGCTGTCCGAACCCTTAAAGGTCTATATCTCCTCTCACAGGAAGACACGCTCCAGGGTTGTCCTATCTAAACTGAGACAAACTTGAAAACAAACCACACCTTACACATAAAGCACAGAAAGACCTGGAAGGTCTTCTTCAAACTGGTCACAGAGCTACGGCCCCCAGAGCTAACCCAGGCTGGGTTCACGGCAGGGAAGGCAGGGCAGGGGTCAGCAATCCCCTCTTGGGCTCAGCCCTCCTTCCACAGGGACCTGCATCCAGGACAGCAGGGGCTGTGGCCTCGGCCTGAGCTGGGCCCCGCCATCCTATCCATCCTATGAAACAGGCTCCTCCAGGCAGATGGGCCCGCAGCCCCAGTGGAAAGACCCAAACGACTGCGGAGACAAGAGGAACCAAGCACCCAACCAGCAACACCAGAGTCAATGGGTGTTCAGGCCCTTCTCTGGTTCTCTGTGAAGCTGGGGCGAGAGCATTGGTGACATCACCGGGAGATAAAGAAGGCAGCACAGACGAAGCCCCACAGGGAGCTTGCTCCACCCTCGAGGGCCAGGTTTCAGTCTGGCTCACTCCTCAGTTGTGTTGTTATGGACACCCACTGGTCTTTAAAAATCTATCTAAAAAAAAAAATCTATCTAGACGCACTTTTAATCCAAAGACTGAAGGAAACCACTCTGGACCCTGGGTGCGAGGAGCTGTGCAGGGGGCAGTGGGTGCCAGGGACCCGCCAAGGCTGGTCTGCGGGCCGAGCAAGTCGTGTGCAGTGACCAGCTGGGGGCTCTGACCCCACACTCATGCTCAGCGGTGTGCTTTCTGAATATCTACCCCTAAGCTGATCCTCCCACGCTGACCCCTCGTCCCCTGTCTCTCTGGACCTTCACCACAATGTCCTTCATCCTCAGAGGCCTCCAGTCCGTGATCAGCAGCCTTGGGCTGTGACACCTGCCCCGAGGGCCACTGTCCCAGGGCCTGGCCATCTCTCCCAGCTCTCTCTGTTCAGTTCTCGACGGCTGCAAGGACCAGAGATCCCTGTCCCCACCCCACAGGTCCTCGCTCCTGCCGGGCAACCTGTGTGGGTCACCTGGTCCCAGGTGCTGACAGCATTGCTAACTCTGTCCCCTCCTCACTTCCAGGTCACCCTCCCTGCCTCCACCTCGACTCTCTAGTCCCCAAGGCCTGCTTCCTTCTCCCGCTCGGAGAGTAGGCAGCGTCTCCAACCGCCCACGAAGGATCCGTCACGCGCCATCTGCAGTGCAGGGAACCCCAGGGCCCATCACGCTGCGCTCCACTTTCTGGGCCTCGCTGTCAGGCACCTCTTCTCGCTGCCTTCAGCCTCTCTCTACGGCTCCTCACCATCCACGTCCAGACACCCTCTCCCCTCTCCGGTGGTAAAATAAGTAAGTAATCACAGCATGCCCTTCTTTTCCCTTATCAGCCGACTTGTTGACTACCTGCCCCCCCCTCCCCCCCCATCATTCTCGGCCTGTTGGTTAAGATCAGGGGTAGAAAACCAACTTCCCCGAGACTGAAAGGCCAGCTCTTCCCAGCCAGGCCTGCACCCAGCAGGGTGCCCACCACAGGACAGGAGGCCTGACAAAGCTCCCCAGTGCCGCCACGCCCACCACCGCAGAAGTGATGGGATTTCAGCGAGGGGGCAAGTGGACAACACTGACCAGCTCTCCACCTGAGGGAGAGGCAGGCCCCATGCAGCCGCTCAGAGTGCAGCAGGAAGCACCACCTGCCGTGCAGTCAGGCCACAAACCACGGAAACCTGGGGCCGACCAAACCTCCCAGCGAACTGCAGCCCCGGAAGCACAGATCCACCCGCAGTCACGGCCCCCAGCAGGACAGCGGGCGCGTCCTGTGTCGTTGACTTTTAGAGACGGCCCGGGACGCTGGAGCACTGACTGGTGTCTGACATGTGGGAGCTGCTGGGAGTGACAATTGGCAGGCTCTGCAGAGCTGTGCCGAGTGTCCGCCCTTCGAGACCTGCTCCAAAACAACGCCCTGGGGGCGAGACTGCGACACCAGGCAGGGGGCCGGGCTGGGCCGTTTCTCAGCAGGAACACAGGCACGAAATGCAGAGAGGCCTTCCCGCGCTGCACACAGAGCAGTCACCGGGAGCTCGGTCACCAGCCCACCAGCCAGGAGAGGGGTCAGAGCGTCAGCCACGGGCGGGGGGAGCAGGACGGGGAGGGTCTGGAGGACAAGGCCGAGAGGACAACTTCTGGGAACCCCCTTCTCCACACTGCAGCCTCGTGTCCTTCCCGGCCGGCACAGACCTGGGTACACTGCTCCTAGTTAAAACCCTTCAGTGGTCTCCAGGGCCCTCGACAAAGACCCAGCACAGCCTGCAGAACCACCCGGCCCGTCCTTCCTCCTCAGGGAAGGCTGCAGTCCCCACACAGAGACCCAGGCACAAGCATCTTTTAAAAACTGTATTTAAAATAGGTTATAAAAGCTAAAAATAAATTAGCAAGAATAATAACTATGCTCCACAATATAGAATAAGGAATAGTTTACTTGAGCTGGCCCACTCAATTTCTTATAAAATACTACAAGACTTTTTTTAAAAAAGATATATTTTTTATTGATTTCAGAGAGGAAGGAAGAGTGAGAGAGAGACAGAAACATCAATGATGAGAATCATGGATTGGCTGCCTCCTGCACGCCCCACACTGGGGATCAAGCCCCCAACCCCGGCCTGTGCCCTGATCGGAATCGAACCTGGGACCTTTCAGTTCGCTGGCCGACGCTCTATAACAGGGGTCCTCAAACTTTTTAAACAGGGGGCCAGTTCACTGTCCCTCAGACCGTTGGGACTATAGTTTAAAAAAAACTATGAACAAATTCCTATGCACACTGCACATATCTTATTTTGAAGTAAAAAAACAAAACAGGAACAAATACAATATTTGTATTTGCATGTGGCCCGCGGGCCGTAGTTTGAGGACCCCTGCTCTATATCCACTGAGCCAAACTGGCAAACGCAATACTACAGGATTTTTAACAAACAAAATAAAGAGTGTGTTACTATGGAAAGTGTGAGTGAAAACACAATCATTAAATGTGAGATTTGACTAATGCCCTAAAAAAGTATTGTCCTTAAAATACCCTCCCATGTCCTTGAAGTTCCCATCACACTTTACCTTAGAAGAGCCATTTCCGTGTGCGCAAACCCTGTCAATCAAATCCTGACCATCCGGTGGCCCGTCCGTTGGCACTAACCGTGGTTTTACGATACTTAAGTTCCTGTCAGTCATCCTTTCTGTTTGATAAACTGGACAAGTCAGCACCTCTAAGTGCAGACTCAGGGCAGAGCACGTGCAAGCAGAGCGCCCGAGCGCCGCGAGGGGGGCTCCGGAGCTGGCTGCCCGCCCCGCCCCGCCCTCTGTGGTGCCTCCTCTCAAAGGCAGTCAGTCCTCCCGGGAGAGCTGGGATAACTACAGGAGACCCAGCCGTTAGTATAAGTCACACAGCCCTAACAGAACCACAGAGATTCGGCCCCGGGCCAGCCCTCTGGGTGGAGTTAAAACAGCATTTCGTGTGCAATGACTAATCACTGAGTCATCAGCAACGCACCATTTTCAAAACACCCTCACAATGTCCATGTCAGTTCAGTAATTGCATAAAAAAATAGTATAACAAAGTTTATAGATATTTTCTCTTTCTAAACATAACATTTTAGCCCCACAGAGGCCCCGTTAATTCAATGGCATTGAGGAGTGACAAGACACACACGCTCACCTGAGTGCATACGTGTAGCCAGTGTTCTCGGGCACACACTGAGGCGGCGTGTATATGTGGAGCCGAGAAAAGTCCATGTTCACAGTCTCAACTCATACTGCAGAAGGTGGAAAAAGCAAGTCAGGTTAGGTGAGAGCACACGCAGAGGCCCTGCCTGCCGACCACTGCCCGCTAGGCAGCCTGCCGCCACCGTCTACTGATGGAGCAACGCTAGCGAGCAGTTCTGTGTTTCTTATCTTTAAAACAAAGGACAGAAGGTTTTCATGATTACCCGTGAGTGCAGGAGCTCGGCTGCTATACACAGTCCCTAAAGGACAGACCCATAAACACACCCGGGAGACACCGGATCGGCTGACTTGTAATTACGAAAACGGGCACTTCCCAAAGACCAAGGACCCATCTCACAGCCTATTTTTAAGTTCCCGAAGGAGTCGTGTGCTCTCATGCTTCGGAAATAACTTTCCGTTGCTGTTAATTAAAACAGACAGACTCTACTGCACAGCCAAGAATCACCCCGTGCGTCCCTAGACAGCGAAGTTTCCAGAGTCAGAAACTGCTTAAGGCACTGTTTGTACTTTTATTTTCCCCCAGAAGAAAACATTATTTTCAAATTAAAAAGTGTTGAATTGAGCACACTGCTTCTCAGGTTGTCAGCTAGATTTCTTTGGAATGATTCAAACTTTCCTCTGTCTAAAAACATTCTTCCTCTCTCTCTCTCTGACATACACACACACACAGTCACTCCAACTTTTTTTTAATGCTCATAGTAATAATGCGAATCACAATCTGTTGCTGAATAATCTAAAGGAAGATAAAAGTAAAAATAAAAACCATCCTGGACAAAAAATATTTATGTATAAATGACTGATTTCTACAGAAATAGAACAATCCAAAAATTTGTATGAAACCACCCAAAACCCCAAATAGCCAGAGCAGTCTTGAGAAAGAACAAAGCTGGAGGCATTATGCTCCCAGATTTCAAACTATATAAAAAAGCTACAGTAATTAAAACAGTATGGCATCGGCATAAAAACGGACACATAGAGGAATGGAACAGAGAGCCCAGGAGTAAACCCTCGCACACACGATCGGTTACTCGACGACACAGGAGGGAACGCGCGGTGGGGAAAGAACGTGCTGGGAAGACTGGGCAGCCTCGTGCCGACAGTGAGGCTGGACTGCTGTCTGACACCGAACACACACCTGGATGTAAGACCTGAAAAATGAAAGAAAACCTAGTGGTGGCAATAAGCTGCTTGCACAGGTCTCGGGTGTAACTCCAAAAGCAAAAGCAAGCAGGTGGGACCACATCAAACGAAAATGGTTCTATCAGCAAAATGGAAAGGTAACCAACCAAATGGGAGAAACCATTAACAAGTCATATATCTGATAAGGGGTAAGTATCCAAAATATATAAAGAACTCTTACAACTCAGCAGCAAAACAACCAACAGTCCAAATGAAACACGGGCAGAGGGCCTGAATAGACATTTTCCCAAAGAAGATGTAGAGGTGGCCGACCGGCACGTGAACAGGTGCTCACATCACTGGTCCCCAGGGACGGGGAGACCGGAACTGCAGTGAGATGCCACCTCACACCTGTAGGAAGGCTGTCATCAACGAGCCAAGAGCTACGTGTTGGCGAGGAGGGAGGAAAGGGAACCCTCGTGCACTGCTCGTGGGGATGTAAATTTGTGCAGCCACTGTGAAAGCAACGTGGAGATTCCTCAAATAATTACAACTAGAGCTGCCACAGGCTCTAGCAATTCTGTTTTTTTATCCGAAGAAAATGAAACCACTAACTCAAAGAGACTATGTCCTCCATGTTCCCTGCAGCAGCATTTACAACAGCCAAGACATGGACGCGCCAAGTGTCCATCAACAAATGAGCGAACGCAGCAGCTGAGGTGCATGCACACAATGGAGTGTTATTCAGCCACAAAAAGAACGCAATCCACAGCACGGATGGACTCCTCGGGCATTCTGCTAAGTGAAGTCAGACAGAGAGGCACATACCATAGGATCTCTCTTACAGGAAATTAATTTTTTTAATTTTTAAATAAATGAACAAACAAAAATATTAGAGAACAGAACGGTGGTTGCCAGAGATGGGAAGTGGGGAAAATGGGTGAACTGTTTGGAGTTTTATTAGTTTAAATAAATTGAATTTTTAAAATGAAATTAAATAAAATGATTTGTATAAGCTAAGACAAATGTACTTCACACCACTTTCTGTGAAACAATCTAAATATTCTTTAAAAAATGAAGTACCCATAGAAATAAAGGCCAGTGTTTATACATAAAAATTTTATTATGCCTATTAATTTCACCAAATACTACAAAACTCCTGCATTTTAACCAACATCCCAACGTTGCTTGGTTCCTCCCGGGACCCAGCCCCCAGCCCACACACGCAATAAGCACGAAGCACTCTTCCCTGCGTCAGTAACACACCCTTAACCCTCCGACGCCCGTGAGACGCTACTTCACCAGGAGCTGCTCGTACCTGTTCAGCGGCCTCGCTCCGTCACTCGACCCCACCCTTCCGTGTGGCTCAGAACAGGTCCCAGGAGGCTCAGCCACCAGGAGCCGGTGGATGGGCTCCTCCCACTCAGTGAGGCCAGGCCCGGCGGGAACTGAGCCACACCCAGCAGCAGGGCACTGAGGGCTCCGACCAGGAGCCGGTGGATGGGCTCCTCCCACTCAGTGAGCCACACCCAGCAGCAGGGCACTGACGCTCCGGGGAGGATGTGTACTTGTGACTCACTAGGCAACCAGGGCCTGCTGCACGGCACCAGGACTGACGCCCCACTGCTGCTCATCCTCTGGGGGAGAGCCGCCTCCTTTTATTTGTCCCTTTTAGTTCCTCACTCACAAAACCCAAGCTCCCTAACCTCATTGCCAAAGTGATCTTTCACGTAAATATTTAAAAATATTTTTTAAATATTTTTTATTGATTTTTTACAGAGAGGAAGGGAGAAGGATAGAGAGCTAGAAACATCGATGAGAGAGAAACACCTATCAGCTGCCTCCTGCACACTCCCTACTGGGGATGTGCCCGCAACCAAGGTACATGCCCTTGACCGGAATCGAACCTGGGACCCTTCAGTCCGCAGGCCGACGCTCCATTCACTGAGCCAAACAGGTTAGGGCTAAAAATATTTTACAGTCCTGCACTGTGACCATCAGTAACCCAGGCTGCCTAATCCGACCGCTCTCTACAGCTGGCAGCGCCAAGTGCTCCGCGGCTGAGAGTTCCTGGGACTGGTTCACAGATCACTGCGCCAACCAGTGATGGCGTTGAGCTTACAGACCAGGACTGTGATGCGGAGGCACCAGAGCACCGGCTCCGAGGGACAGAGCCCTGCCACCGGGCTCACATCCCAGCCCTGGCACAGGCACAGCGGGTCTGGCTGTGGCTCAGTCATTGGGCCTGGTGAGGAGGACACACACAGGAATGTGAACCTACAGCCTTTATTTTAAAAAATTACATTAACACGTTCTCACATTTTCATCCACCTAAAGAGACAGATTGGGTCACTTCTCATGCGTAACAAACGATGTTTTCAGAAGCTCTCAGAGGTGCGGACATGCTATAACCACGTTCCAATGAGACGCAGACGAAGCTGGGCCGCACCCCTCCCAGGTCGCTGTAGGCCTCAGGCCACGGCTTACAGAGAAATGGAGCTCCTTGTCTCTGAAACAAAGTTCTATCAAAGAGCCGAGGGCCACGACTGGCCGTGACGGGACTGCAGCAGCGAGTGACAGGCTAAAAACCCACAGCTGACAACGGGGCACAGCTGAGTGACAGACACAGCGGTACATTTTTGGTAAAATAGCTACACGTGTGATAAAATCCCAAAGGTAAGCCCGCTGGAGGAACAGCAGCAGAAGCGTGGGGATCCAGGCAGTGGGCTCAGGCCCGGACGGCGGAGAGACCACTGATGCCCAGGGCCAGCCTCAGCAGCCACCAGGGCACAGGGTGCTGGTCAGAAGGCCTTGCTTCTCCCTGCTCAGGCCAGTTTGCTCCGTAAGCACATGAGTTGAGTTCCATGTTATGTTCTCAGGGACAAGCATCTAGCATAAGGCAGGCCCGTGGCCGGCGCAGTGCTGCCTGGGCCCTGGTCTGCACAGCCCAGGACCAAGTGAAAGGCATGGAAGGTGTGCCTGACACAGGACTAACGCTCCCTTTGACGTCAGCTTTAACTCTGTGGAATAAAGTCATAGAGCCTATGCTTTAAATTTTTAAAAAGAAGGTCGTTTTCTTCTGAGTTAGCAATCCCTGAGAGGGAAGTCACTCACCCCTGGCGGAAACAAAAGACCAAGTCTGTCCACGGGGCCGCAGGCCGGGACGGCTCACTGGAGCCAGCGCCAGCTCCTCCGAAGCCTATCTGAGCTGAAAGCTTATCTACTGAAAACCAAATAGACATGCTGAGCATTTCAAAATGCGGCTTCCAGTCCGGTTTACATCACTGCTAATTAAAGCCCACATGTGACCTGAGAGCCTTCCTACTTGTACCCGGGCAGAAGACGCGGCCTCCACCGCCTCAGCCTGAGACTCCAGGGAGGTCTGACTGCCTTCAACTTCTGAGGAGTGTTGAGACAGCCAGGGGAAACGGTCGGAACACAGGTTTAATGGCATCAGAAAACCCTGTAAAGAATTTGAAGTTAACATTTTGCAAATTGATGTGAAAAGAGGGGCCCTGTCCCGGCTTCACTGTCTTTGTTTTTCCATCCCTTCGGGGCCACTCCCTTTGTTCCCCTAAAGTGTTGTCCCTGGTCGGACCCGTCCCAGGCAGGTCCCAGGGAGTGGCCTGGACTGCAGGAGGGAGGCTGTGAGCTACCAAATGCCTGCCCCACAGGGAAAGGGGCTGGGCTTGCATCAGGCCTCCCCCAGGCTGCCCAGCCCAGCAGGCCGCAGGCAGGGGAGCAGGGAGCCTCTCCTGCCCCCGTACAGAGTACTTCTTAGGGTGGACAGCTTTCGGTTTTGAGCTGCCAGACCTAACAGGATGCTCGCACCCCAGGAAATGTGGGCCAAGAGTGCCACCTGCAAGGGAGCAGGAAGCCCCGTGCTTAGGTGCCCGGGCCTCCTCCACCT